TAGCATTGGCGGTGCTGGGGGCTCTTTGCTACCCCGGCGCACATGCAAGGGAGGCCCGGTGGCTGTGGGACGATTCGTACCCGGCGCAACAGTCAGGTAAGGAAGAAGGGAAGGAAGAAGGGAAGGAAGGAAGAGGGGAAGGAAGGAGGGTGGGGAAGGAAGGGAGGAAGGAGGGGAAGAGAGGAAGGAAGGAGGGAAGGAGGGGAAGGAAGGAAGAAAGGAGGGTGGGAAGGAAGGAAGGAGGGAGGAATGAAGGAGGGAGGGTGGGAAGGAAGGAGGACGCGAAGGAAGGAAGGAAGGAGGGAGGGAGGGGAAAGGAGGAAGGAAGGAGGGTGGGAAGGGAAGGAGGGAGGGAGGGGAAGGAAGGAAGGTAGGAGGGTGGGAGGGGAAGGAGTGTGGGTGGGAAGGAAGGAGGGCGGGAGGGGAAAGGAAGGAAGGAGGGTGGGAAGGAAGGAAGGAGGGTGGGAGGGGAAGGAAGGAAGGAAGGAGGAAGGGAGGGAGGGGAAGGAAGGAAGGAGGGTGGGAAGGAGGGAGGGAGGGGAAGGAAGGAAGGAAGGAGGGTAGGAAGGAGGGAAGGAGGGGAATGAAGCCAGGAAGGAGGGTGGGAAGGAGGGAGGAAGAGGAAGGAAGGAAGCATGGAGGGTGGGAAGGAGGGCTTGAGAGGAGGGAAGGAAGGAGGGAGGGGTGGAGGGCTTGAGGGGAAGGAAGGAAGGAAGGAGGGAGGGGTGGAGGGCTTGAGGGGAGGGAAGGAGGGAGAGAGGGAGGGAAGGAAGGAAGGAGGGAGGGGTGGAGGGCTTGAGGGGAAGGAAGGAGGGAGGGAGGGAGTGGTGGAGGGATTGAGGGGAAGGAAGGAAGGAAGGAGGGAGGGGTGGAGGGCTTGAGGGGAGGGAAGGAGGGAGAGAGGGAGGGAAGGAAGGAAGGAGGGAGGGGTGGAGGGCTTGAGGGGAGGGAAGGAGGGAGAGAGGGAGGGAAGGAAGGAAGGAGAGACGATACATACCCAGCGGAAGACCCAGGAAGGAAGAGGTGAAGGAGGGAAGGAGGAAGGTGTGGAGGGCATGAGGGGAAGAGGAGAGGGAGAGAAAGATGAAGGGAAATAGAGGGAGGAAGGGAGGGAGATAGAGAGAGAAAAAAAACACGGTTTTTATGTCCTTTCTTATGTTTTTCTTTTCTTTTCCCTCATTATTTTTACTCTTTAATTTCTCGTCAAATCTATTTATCTTTATCTTCCCTCGACGCCTCTTATCATATTCTCTTATTTGGCGCTTCTTATCCTTCATTTTCTTCTCATTCCCCTTTCACTATACTCGCTTGTTTTCTCTCGTTGTTGTTAGTCACCTGATTCCCATGTCTTATGTTTTCCTGTTCCGTTTTCTTCCTTTCTTCGTCCCACAACCTCAGGGTCATCGTTATTTTCGTTATTACACCCTCTTTCTTTGGTGTTTCTGTTATCCTTAATTATCTTATTTTCACCCTCTCCCGTCTTCGTATACGTTTGTTTCCTCCTGCTATTTTTTTCATCGGATTCCTCTGCCTTATGTCGTTCTGTTTCGCTTACCTTCATGCTTCACTCCTACTACCGTTGATTTATTATCTAATTACGTTTATTATATCCTCTTTCTGTGGTACGTCTGTTGCCTCCTTTATTTCCTTCACACTATCTCCCTATTTCGCTGTATACGTTTGTTTTCTTTCGTTGTTTTTAATGATCCTAATCCTGTGTCTTATGTATTTCTGTTTTGCTTTCCATCGTACCTTCCTTCCACTAACGATAATATATAATTCCATTTTGATTAATTTACATCCTTTCTATTTGAGACTTATATCCTCCACTTCATTTTCTTCTTAATCTTTCTTCGCCCCTTCCCTTGTGTCATCGTTTAATCATCCTTATGCAGTCCTGTTTCACTTTCCTTCATGTCTCCCTCCTACTACCGGTGATTTTATCTTTTAATTTCGTTTATTATATCCTCTCTCTATGGCACATTTCTCTCTCGCTCTGTTTCCTTCTCATTTCCCCTTCATACACTGTGTTTTCTTGCGTTGCTGTTAAACATCCAATCCCTGTGTTTTATGTAATCCTGTTTCGATTTCCTTCATACGTGCCTTCGTCCACCGTTGATTTATTATGTAATTCCCGAAAAGATCCTAAATTCTCTTTGGCGTTTGCCCATTTTACTTCCTTTTTACGACCTCCACCAAATTCTGTAAACGTTTGTTTTCTTCTATTGTTGTTAGATATCCGGTCCCTGTACCTTATGAAGTCGTTTCGTTTTCTTTCATGTCTTTTATTTTCATTACTATACTTCGTCCCTCTTTGGCGCTGTTGTCCCTCTATTTTCTTCTCATCCAGCATATTTGTATAAGTTTATTTTCTTTCGTTGTTATTAATTATGCTTCGCTTTCCTTTGTGTCTCCCTCTCGATACAGTGGATTTATGATTTAACTTCACATATCATCTCCGCTCTCTATAGTACTTTTTTTACCCTTTTATTCCCTTCTC